TCTTGTTCCCTTGCTCTTTAATCCTTCCCTGATGAGCCTCAGCCCTGGGCCGCTGAATCCATGGGACTGCCAGTTCAGTACCGCGCTGTCGCACACCATGGCATGCGCGTAGGATCAGCAGTTCAGCTTACTACACTTTTGTTTTTCTTTTACAAGAGAAATTCTTTTTAGGCTTTTAGCACTCTTGTAAAACTATGTACTCCCCTCCTCCCGGTTCAAAATAATTGTCGTTCCGAGTGACGATACGATCTAAAAATACTTTGGTCACTATTTTCTATCGTAATATATAAATATTAATAAATGTATGATGGAAAGTACATTTTAATGTTACCTATATATATGGGTTCCATATTTTTGAGCAAATATTTCACAAGTTATTCATAGCCAAAGTTTATGAATAATTTTCTGCAACATGTTGTACACCATGATATTTGTTTTTTTTATTACATGATACTACTTTTCACAAGCATCATCATTTAGGACTCATTTTGGAATGCAAGATTCAGAAATCATGGGAATAGAAAAAACATACAAGTAGGTTGTCATGCCTCGTTGAATCTTCCAGAAGTTGATCCATCGAATTTTTTTTCAGAAAAATATTGTTTGGTAGCACTATAGGAAAAACATAGGAATTTTTAGAGAGAAGAAGAGAAACACATGAGATCTTGCCTCTTTCTAAATTTGCTCAACAATTCCTATCAAATGACCTATTCCACACATGATTACATGAATTTTAAAGGATTTTGTAATGGTCATTATTTTATTTCCAAATTAAAGTACCATAAAGAAATTTCTTCCAACGAATTCCAGTCCTCTAAAATTCCTCCATTTTTTCTTTTGCTCCTCAAGTGTTTAGAGTGGCCCACTCGATCACTCCGATCCGAGACAATATCCCATTTGCTAAGGTGGATATATATAGTCCGGTGAAACCGACAAGCGAACATGATATGTCAATTTGGCAATTACTATTAAAATGTTTGGTAGATTATTATAGACTCCTTGAGGTTCCACGAGAACCCACAATTTAGCTTGCACTTGCTACATTATTAAAGGATGAAAGTAGAAAAACCACTGCACGCTTCATTTAATTCCTTATTAAATTATGGCAAAACCAGGCTTTCGAGTAACAGTTCCATACACCAAACTTATCTTATGACATTCACTGTATCAAGATTTAAGTATACTTACATCATATATATATCTAGTGAAATAGACCCACTCAATGCTCAATCTCTAAAGTCAAGATCCTATCACATTTTCATCTTGCTATAGTGTTTGTGAGACACAGAGACCGCGAGTTTAATTTACTATTAGAAAAAGCATTTTCGTAGACTTGGGTTTTTTTTTCTAAGCGGGTATGAGCCTCGGAGCCAAATAACCGCATACGAAAAATATAAACTAGAAGTGGATCAGCGTCGGCTGCGGCTCGGACGAGCGGTGGGAGCGGCGTCGGCTGCGGCTCGGAGCGGCTGAGGCGGCGGATCTGACGAGGTGCGGGAGCGGCGGAGACGCCTCCCCTCCCCTCTCTCCCAGATCCGACCGGAGGGGAGAGAGGGCGGTGGTGTGGTGTCGATCTTGGACAAGGGGAGCTCCTCCTCCCAGATCTGGCGGAGGGAGGAGCTCGGGCGCCGGCAGCGGCGGAGGTGCCTCCCCTCCCCTCCCCTCCCTCTCTCCCAAATCCAACCGGAGGAGGGCGGCGGCGCAAGTGACGCTGGTGTGGCGTCGCCATCTCGATAGGGAGAGGGCGGCGGCGGTGCTATGTTGGGCAGCTGGCAACGGCGGCAGCACAGACGGATGGGGATTTATTTTATCTACGACGTATATTTTTTTTAGGCAGGTGGTTCTACTGCCTGTAAAGATGGATTTACCGCCTATGAAAATGATTTTCGTAGGCGGGCTTTTGCCTACAGTAGGTCCTTTTCCCCACTTGGAAAAACTATTTTCGGCTACCTAGATGGAAAAACGATTTTTCTAGTAGTGATTGCTCCGGCCGTCAAATGGGCAGAGATGTATACTATGCTTGAAGGTGTTCGGTGAATTGTTATACCATAAGGCCAAGCTTTTTAGTCGCTATCTTTCCATTTCTTTCATATTTTCCGGCAATATTTGTCCTTTAGTTCAAAATAATTATTAAATCCACGTGAAGCGGCACGTGGACAAGTCAACTCAGCAAAGGTCAGCCATGATGCAACTTCCCTTATTGCTACTACTATACCTTATAAATGAGTAACAGGGCTTCTCAAAATTAATCTAATGTTTAAACCTCATTTTGTGATATCTAGTTTAAGATTTTATGAAATTTACTCTCTCTTCAAACGGAACTGATTAATTTGAGCAAGCATATAATCCATCGTACTTGATTTGACTTGGATTTATGATAAAAAAAGTCCAACTCTGGATGATATTACTATATCATTGTTAATAAGCATGCCGACAAAGTATGCCATCACTATTTTCTTGTGCTTAACAATGAATGAATGGATGAATGCGCATACTTCTCGAACTCCTAAGCTGTATGATTTATTTGCAGTACTATTTTAAATTTATTTTTAACTCTATAATAGTTCATTCATCCATTTATGTACCTAGTACCCTCGAACAATTATCACAAATAATTCATCTATCAACCATTTAGCAGAAAAGAGATTATAATTAACATGGAAACATGTCAGCTCTAAGAGCAAGTTTAATAGTATAGCCAACTATTAGCTCCAATTCATCTCATTCATACAATAGTTACATAGTGCACTATTAATACATGGTCCCACCTGTCACACATACACTGCGTCTTGAAGTCCGTGCTACAGCTGGCTACAAATTTGTAGCCCGCTACTCTTCTCTCTCCTCATTTATCTTCTTAAAATATGTTTACAGCTGGCTTATAGCCTGTTATTGTATATGCTCTAAAGAGGTCAAATGTGGAAAACACACACACAAGAGGTGCAATTAATTAATTTATTCTCAATTCGTTTTCTTGACTGTGATCTTGTTTATAACCTTTTCGTCTACAAGAAAGCTGATGTGTGATAGATAGAACAAAACCAATTACATGAGAAAATATAACAAATCCAGGTCTCGTTTGAGACATGGGATTGTAGCAAGAAAACATGCATGCAAAAATTATATACTCGTCTTTTCAATTTCTTTAGTTAGGTAACCCCAACAAAAACATTTATTAAATTAACTTGCTTTGAAGAAAAACGGAAATTAAAGCAGCAATTAACTGTTGAGACTAGCTATACTGAAGGACGACCTAGAAACTTTGGGTGCACAAAAAGATGTAGGTAGGTAGCAATATACCCTTAGGTCGATCGATATATTATTGTATTCAAGCGATATTTATAACAGAGATGTGTACTCCTCCATCGATCAAGGCTGTGTTTAGTCCTTTCAAATTTTCAAAAATTCCGTCACATCAAATGTTTAGATACATACATAGAGTATTAAATATGGATGAAAAAACACCCAATTACATAGTTTGCATGTAAATTGCGAGACGAATCTTTTGAGCCTAATTACGCCATGGTTTGACAATGTGGTGCTGCAGTAAATATTTACTAATGATAGATTAATTAGACTTAATAAATTCGTCTCGTAGTTTACATGCGGAATATGTAATTTGTTTTGTTATTATTCTACGTTTAATATTTTAAATGTGTGTCCGTAAACTTAAAAATTTTTGGCTGGGGAACTAAACACGGCCCAAGTTAACATCAAATGTTAACTGCAGAGGCAAAGGTGCTTAAATGCAATGTCAGATTCTATGGCCGTGCCCTCCAGTGGTCGCCATCAGCATGGACAAATTAGGTTAAGTGTCCTATTAATTAGTCATAGCAGCGAGGCAAAGCCAGTTGCAACCCTGAGGTTTGTCCAAGTTGAGTATTATAGGGGATCTGCATTAGCTAGTGAGAGACAAGGGCATGACACATTGCCCTGCACATTAATTCGAATCCCTTTCTACACATATATATCTATACACCATATTTATATGGATGCATCTCTATACACAAATTGAATTTAAATCGAGGAGGGATTAGTCGCGTATTTATGGAGAAAAAAACAAAGTGTTTCCTTCAATTGGAGAGGATGAAGGGTACATTTCTAATGCTACTTTTTGTTGCTAATCTGAGGCAACAAACTAATTAATTGATGATTACTGACATTTCTAATTTTCCCTCCATAATAGTGTCATGCTTACAACGAGATTGTAATTATGAGATTAGTTTTCTCTTTTCCCGGTTTTTCAGGTTAGTTTTTATGTGAAAAAAAAAACTGATTTTCTTTTTTTTTTGGTGGGGTGGTGGTTTTTATATGGAGAAGGGAGGAGAAGGACAACTCAGTTTTTAAGGTAATAAAAAGATACTGACGAGTATCAATTTGCTCCTTTTGTAAGTTCACTTATTATTCAACATGCAAACATTAAGAGATGGTACTAGCAAATTTTTCATTGTTGCAAGTATATAGGAGAATATTACAGTAGTAGTGTCATGAATAAAATTCAGAAAATTAAGATACACATGGGACATGCATGGTTAGCTGAGATAGAGTATATACACATCAAGTACTCACTACTCAGTACGTACTAGAAGCAAGCATTAGATGCATCACAATACCATATGATTCTCATGAATTAGTGCGCATCAAATCAATGCGTGAGACCACGCTATATCAATGTGTACGACTCTTACATTTAAGACTCGCTATTATTTTTTGCGATTTTCCATTTAATACTTGATCATCTCTAGCTATAGTATCAAACGTATCATATCCTTGTAGAAAATTAACTGTGAATAATACCGATGAGTACATTTCCTAGTACATTTCACTCGAAGATGTATCATAGCACTCGTCCGTGAATTGCAAAAATTACTCGCAATAACCCAGCTTGAAGTAGTACCACTGGTAAGTTAAACTCTCTTGCACCTAGTATTAATTAATTAATTAATTACAACAAATCGAACACAAATATATATGTACCAAGGATATATTATAACATTTACTGGTACTACTGATATATATATAAGATTTATGTTATTAAAGAAGATGTACATTTCTATTGTTTGCCAACCTCCATTTCATGACTGGCTCATCTCACAATGGATCCAAGTCATGCATCCACCATGGATTAGTATAGACTACTATATAGAAACTTACAAATTAAGATGATCAGTTCCAAACCCTAACAACGAATTAAAACTCAAAAAGAAGAAGAGAGAATATAACTAGATTTAACTATGCTAGATCAACACCAGCTTTGTGCTTTTGATGATCTAAATCACCAAGGATTGATTGGCTTTGTTCTTCAAGGCTAGTCACATTTATTGTCACCTTTTTTTTGTCCCCTCATTTTTTTTTCCTTTTTTCACTTGCACTAAAAGAACTCACTCGGGTCCCCCAATGGCACCACCACGTCCATGAGCCCCACCTCGCCGTGGCCCATGCCGTCGTCGAGCAGCCAGCTCTCCAGCATGGAGAACGCCGGCGGCGGCGGCGGCGGCGGCGCGCCGGCGGTCTCCTCGTCCTTCGTCTTGCTGGTGACCGTCGAGCCGTCGGGCGTCGGCGCCGTGGCGCCGCCGCTGTGGCTGGCCTCCCCGGACAGCACCGACGCCGCCGACGACCTCGACCCGGAGGACGGCGTCGTCGTCGTCTTGCCGCCGCCGCCGCCGGGGCGCATCCAGCCCTCCAGGAGCCGCGCGATGTTCTCGGCGCTGGATGCGTACGACGTCGCCGCCTGCGACGACGGCGGCGCCGTGGCGCCCGACGACGAGTCCAGCGGCTTGGCCGGCGGCGAGGGGTCCAGCGAGAGCGCGTCGCGGAGCGCCTGGCGCGCGGTGTGGATGTCCGTCTGCAGGCGCCGCTCCCACTGCCCCTTCGGCGCAGCCGCCCTGGTCTTCACCTCGCCGGCGCCACCTCCCTCGCCGTCGTCGCCGCCGCCGCCGGTGGCGCTCATCTTCTTGAGCTTCTTCTTGAGGTGCGTGTTCCAGTAGTTCTTGATGTCGTTGTCCGTCCTCTCCGGCAAGTAGGACGCGATCGCCGCCCACCTAACCAAAAATCAAGAACCGCCAAAAAAAAAAAACGCAAGCGCGCACTTTAATTAGGGCTCCAAAAACCAACCCATCCATCAATCACTCAACCTCGATCGCCAAGAATTTCATCTTCCGATTCACGAAACGACGTAAATTAAACCAAAAAAAAAATTACCTGTTGCCGAGGAGGGCCTGGAGGTGGACGATGAGCTTCTCCTCCTGGTCGGTGAAGTTCCCCCGCTTGATCCCCGGCCGGAGGTAGTTGGTCCACCGGAGCCGGCAGCTCTTGCTGCACCGCATCAGCCCTGCACACACGCACAACCATCGCCGGCCGGTCGATCAGAACACCGCCCACCGCCGGCGACAAAAACCAAAGGGGATCGGTGGTGGTGGTGGCTCACCGGTGTTGGTGGGCACGGCGCGCCAGTTGCCCGGGCCGTGCTCCTGGACGTAGGCGACGAGCATGAGGTCCTCCTCCGGCGTCCACGGCCCCTTCTTCACCTCCGCCTTCACGCAGCACGGCGGCCTCCCCATCAATCCCCACCACGGCACCACCTCCTCCAACTCCAACGACGATGAACAAGAAGAAGAAGAAGAAGAAGAAGAAGAAGAAGAAGAAGATACTCTCCACTCCACTCCACTTCACCACCTCCGCCTAGAGACCGACCTAGCAATCAAGGGGAGGAGGAGGAAGGAGAAGGTAGGGAAGCAAGAGAGAGACAGGAGTCCAACCGAGACGGCAATGGGGGGGGGGGGGGGGCGGGGTCGGCGGTGAGTCTCCGGCGGAATATATAGGCGGCCCCGCGGCGTCGCACAGCTGGGTTTGGGTTTGACCTACTAGCCGCCAAGGCGAGTGAGGTGGACGACCCAACAACCTGCTCCTGCTCGATCGACGAGTCCACATACACGGCCACGGCCACGGCGACTCTACTGACCTGTGACGTGGCAGTGGAGTTTGTAGTAGTAGTAACTTTTTTTTTGTTTAGGAGAGGAGTAATTTATTTGCTAGGGACAAAAAGAAGTGAGCTCACTGGGTCATTAAGGAGTAACTGAAACGTGGTTGAGTGGGCCTGGTGGGCTTTCTGGGCCGGCCCGTTAGACCGGGTGGGTAGAATTGTTCTGGTTCGGGAGATATGCTCTTTGTCGTGATTTTTACTATCAGACTCTCCTCAAAATTAAACAAGGGACTAGCTACGGAGTTGTCGACAGTTTTTGAGGTCCAAAACTTTCAAATTTTTTAACTACAGAATTTATCATCAATGGTTATAAGGAAACAATCCACACTAGTACAAACCATGAATTTTAGTGTCCAAGCTGATTGAACAACAAGAAATTGGCCTACATGTAGAATGGAAAAAAAACTTTCAAATTCAAAAGTAATATGCGCTCCTAAAAAAATTGCAAATCATAATTTTATACAATATAACTACCCTATAACTATCGTGTAACTACTCTGTAACTAGTGTGTAAGTACTATGTAATTAGGGTGTAAGTGTTATGTAACTACTCTATAATTAAGGTAAGTGATATATAACTAGGGTGTAAGTGATATATAATAAAAAAGAGTTATTACTAATAAGAAGGTGCATGGCTTAGCTTAACGTGTGCATCATGTTCGATGACTGCCTTGCCCATGCGATCTTTTTTATTCTGGGTGTATATGTTGCACGAATCCTAGAGCGCATCTAATGGCTAGAAAATCAAAAGTTTTCCAAACAAAAAAACTGTCAACAGTTTTTTAGCAAAACCGATTAAACAAAAATAAATATATTATATGGGACTATCTATATAACTGTTGACAGAAAATCCCTCCATCCATCTTTTAAATTTTAGACCATCGGATATGCTTTAAGCCGTGTTGAGGCATTAACCCTATCTTTCCTCCTCCAGTTCCCCTCCCATCACACATTCCGCCGCCACCACTCCCATCGCTCATTCCTCCATCCGATCCCCCGCCGCCACTGCCCCACCGCGCCGCTACCCGCCTCGCCAGTTGGAATAGCGTGCCGGCGAGAACCCCCCCCCTTCTTCATCCTCGAGCCGTTGGCGGTTAGATGCCCCCGCCACCAAGCCGGCCCACTACCCTCCTCTAGCCCCGCAGCTCCGACGCTGCCGCTGACGCCTCGCCACCCGTTCAATCCGCCGCCCACCGCCAGGCTACCGCCTCCCCCGGCCATCCCTCTAGAGCCGGGAAACTCCTCCTGTCGGTGATATGGGCATGGGGGTATCAGGTTTAGAGGGAGGAGGCTGCCACCAATGCCACATGGCCCTCCCCCGAGGGGAGTCAGGCCCGAGGTGGGGTGGCGGCCACTCCTTCCCTAAAGACTAGTCGGAGGAGACTGCCCTCCGATGCCACGTGGCCCTCCCCCGAGGGGAGTCAGGCCCGAGGTAGGACGGCGGCCACTCCTTTCCAGAGACTGGATGGAGGACGCTGCCCTCCAATGCCACGTGGCCCTCCCCCGAGGGGGGTTGGGCCCGAGGTAGGGCGACGGCCACTCCCTGGCCGAGACTAGAGGGAGAAGGCCGCTCCAGGCGCCACGTCGCTCCCTCCCGAGGGGGGATCGGGCCCGAGGTCGGGCAGCGGCTGCTCCCTGCCATGACTAGGGTCAGGCTCCCCTGACCCCCTTTCTAGGTCACCACGTACGGTGGGTTAGGTGTCTGCCTCCAGGTGCCCATCTACCCGCATTTATGGCGTCCCGAGCGGTCGCGCCACGCCGCATTTAATACAGCGTGCAGTGCACTCAACCGGTCTGTGACCAGTCGAATGACCGATGGGACTGGCTAGTGAGACTGTGCGCTGCTCGTGTGTCAGGCAGCATGCAGCCTGACATGTCCCATCAAATAGTGATGGTGAGAGGTTCTCATCCTCTTATCCCAGCCGGAGTCGGTCCTTCCGCTCTGGTCAAAGCAAGGCTCCCGTTTCACGGTGTAATAGGAGCCCAGAAGTCTTCACCCATTAAATGGTGATTGACAGGGGCACCCCCCGTGTCAGGCGGCAATATTTGACAGGCCCCATCATCAAGACGACGTGTGCTTGGCTTTCCAAGTCAAGAGACAAGACATGCATTTAATGCAAAGGTTATAATGCATTTGTTGGAACCTTGAGGTATAAAAGGAGGTCCAGGCCTAGTGATGGAGGGGGGGACTTCCGAGCGAACTGGCGCTTGGGTCTCGCAACCCCAAGCACTGGTGTTCTACATTCAATCAATCATGCACAGGAGTAGGGTATTACGCTTCATAGCGGCCCGAACCTGTATAAACCTCTTTGGTCTGATTGTCTTGGAGGGGCCTAACCCCCTCAAGACCACACAGCTTCGCTCACCAAATCCTCGAATCTCACCCGCTGCCCCCGGCCGAACTCACAAAGGGTGGCCTCACGGTTCCCTGGTGGAGGAGTTCATTCTCCGACACCTCCCCTTCCCCTTCCCCCTCCCACCCACACCCCACTCCGGGACCCTAAACTGTAGGGTCCTCTGTCATAGTCTAGTGAGTCGCTGGCACCGGAGAAGAAGATCGATAGGTCGCCGGAGTTGGAGGAGAAGGTCTGGAGCATGAATCTCGAAGCTTATCTAGTGGCTCAAAATCTGCAAGATTTGTGGATACAATTTATGTCTCAGAAGGTTAGCAATTCCGATATATTATGATCGTAATGTCACTATATTGTATCTTATATGTAACCATAATACAACTTGTAAGTAACTTTTAAATATCGTATGATAATACACTATTTCCACGAAGCGGATGTCTCATGACGAAATCCTCTCACATATACGCGCGCTGTTATTTCTTCCTTCCTCGCTTGCACAAATCTTAAAGCAAAATCTAATGATTCAAAAAGTATGTGAAAGTTACGTACAAGTTATATTATATTGTAATTATATGCAAGTTACAATGTAATTATATTACGATTATACTATATTTACATCCGTGATTTTTTTTAAACATTTCGAGACAAATATATGGTAAAATCGTTTTTCCATTAATTTTGTGAAATTTAAAGCATGTGAAATAAGGTTTTTATTCGTGCCCTGAGCTACTACCTTCGTCACAAAATAATTTCATATCTAACATATATGATTGCCCCAAAAGGATTTCACTTTAATATTCCTCTTATACCAATGTCAATAGGATAGCTAACTATTACCTATAAAAATTAACGTTATCTCTAGCCGATTTAATAAGAGCAAGTTTAATAGTATAGTCCACTACTAACTCCAAATCATTTATAGCCAATGTAATAGCCAATTCATACAATAGTTGCTTACTATATTATTAATACCTAGTCCCACTTGTCATACACACATTACGTCTTGGAGTCTGTGCTACAGGTGGCAACAGATCTGTAGCCCTTCTCTCTCTTTTTTTATCTCTTTAAAATATGTTTATAGCTGGTTTATAACCTGCTGTTGTACCTGCTCTAACCCACTCGTATGGAGTAATAATTAACTATCGATATGCACTACAACATAAATATTTCATCCACCTCTTTCTCTCATAAAGTATGTTGGAGTTCGTGCTACAGCTCATCACTGCTTATAAATTTGTAGTCCACTTCTTTTCGTACTTATCTTCTTTTGCTCCCACCTCAACAGAAATATGATGTGATAGCTGCTTACATCATCGGCTCCTACCTACCCTCGATCCACACATCGATGAGTTTCGTTTCTCCAATACTCTTTTACTTATCAACCCATAAATAGTACTCGTTTTATTAATGAGTTGCAATTTAATTTGTTTCATATACCTTGTTTTGAACCGGAGACCAAATATAAAGTTGTTTTAGACATACATCCATCCCTAGAATATAAAAAGTTTTAGGATTAGATACAATTATTAAGAAAGTAGGTAAAATTAAATGAAGAATGTTGTGATTGGTTGAGAAGTTATTAAATGAAAAATGTTGTGATTGGTTGAGAAGTTAAGGTAGGTGGAAAAATTGAAATCGTGAAGAGTTGTGATTGGTTGAGAAAAATATTTTATTTTAGGATAAATTATGAGGGTTAGAAGTCGTTTTATTTTGGAACGAAGGAAATATGCACGAATGTGGCCGAAACCATCTGACCACATCGTCCAAAAGTTCCACATCTACAACTAAAACTATGACACATTTTTTAATTTTATTTAAAAGAAAGTTTCACAATTAAAAAAAATCGGAAAAACGACGGTTGCAGTTATAGGTATGACTAGTGCCACAAACATTACACACGAGTTCGCTACTACCTCTGTTTCCGTTTTAGGTTGGATGACTTTCTAGCATTGCCCACATTTATATATATGTTAATGAATCTAGATGTATAAGCTGAAACGGAGGAAGAAGCTTTTAATAGAAATTTAATGGAGCTAAGAATTTACCACCAGTATGCTTAGTATATGTTGGGGTTACACTCGTGGGTACGTACGTGTGTGAATGTGGCATACCGCACACGTGCGTGTTGCTGCCCGTGCAAAAAAATTAAAGAAAGAAAGAAAGAAAGAAAGAAAGAAAGAAGAAAACTGGCCGCTTTCGTCATGGCTGACTCGCCGCTGTTGATCGCTCTCGTCATCGTCGTCGGCTACAGGAGGAGCGGCGCGCCGCAGCCGCAGGAGGCGGCTGCCGGCCGGAAAAGCAAATTCCGGCGGCTGCAGCGCGTAATTAATGGCCGCGGTTATATATATTGCCGGTTGTTTTGCCCCTTCTCTGACGATCGAGACGTTTTCGGTCGATTGTTTTTCCCGAGCCCGTTGAAGAAAAAAAAAGTGTACGCATGCATGTGCAG